AGAACTCTGGTCTTATCAATTAAGAAACTGTACATATGGTTTAAATCATAATTGGAGAATGTGGTTCGACGCATTCATCGGGTTTAAGAATGCAATATTTTTTCTGTTTCTTCTTCTTTTTCGTATTACCAATATTTCTCCTGTTACTTAATCTATTTTATGTTCTGTCCATGTTTTCTCAATCGTCTGTTTTTTCTAAATTCCTTTAACTTTAACATTAACTTATGCATCTTAAAACATTTTTAGATATAAGTAACAGCCTTTTATGCATTTAGAAGAAATGTTTTCGTTAAATTTACACTCTTTAATTTATAACTTACGCAAAATGCCTCTCCAAAAATTTTACTACGTAAAAGTAGTAATTAACTACGACTCTTTTTTTTTTGCAAAATATTTTTTTACAGTTGGAGACAATTAAATACGAGAGCTTTCAGAATTTTTGGTAATTTTGCCAGCACGACACAGTTTGAACAAAGTGGCTTTTCATATAAACCTTTGAATCATTTGCATGTAGTGATGTGGAAAATAACTTTAAATCAAAATTTCAAAACAAAGAATAATACCTTAAAATATAGACTTAGCTATCACTCGAAGAAATTTCTCCAATGAGCATAGAAAGTTAGCAACCCAGGCTTTTACAATTATGGATAACTTTATAAACTTAGGACATATTTTCCAGATTGCGGCTACCTCTATATTTTGAAGTTCAGGAATGGAAATCGGTCGAAATTTAGTATGTATATTCACGAAAAATATGTTTTTGTTTCTGATTTCATAACTTAAATTATCTTCTGTCTTAATTGATTAACATATTTGAGGTCATCCTCGTGAGTTATGAAGTTTCTGTCCAAGTACACGAAAATCCGATAATTTGATCGAAAGTTATTCAGAGTTTTCCGTTTTATTTTTATTTATTTTTTGAGCACAATACGTCGCTAAATTGCCGGAGGAAGTAAAATTTTTGAAATGAAAACAGCATTCGTATTTGTAACATATTTTACCTTTCAAAAAATATGAAGTAGAAATATTGCCAAAATTAATAAGTAACAAAATTTTCATATTGAATTTTTAAAATGTCACTTGTAATTTATATTGGGCATAAATCTGAAAGTTGAAAAGCAGATTATATTCTATTGTCGCAATGATTATACGCATTTTTTTTCAGCTCTTTTATACAGTATTTTCTAATAGAGCTAATTTCTAATAGAATTCTAATAAACACAATTTTGTATTCTAATATTCTATATATGGAGACAAATTTGAAAAAAAAAAAGTGTGAGAAAAGCGATTTTAAATCTTTTCAAACTAATGCTGTTGGTATAGTCATAGTCTCAAAATTGTTAGAGATCTTAAGGCACTGCAGGGGCCTTTTACCTTCCATCTTGATAATACTAAATCATAATTTAGTTATATCATTAATTTTATATTTTATAATAGTCGTTTCACAGTCAACCCAATTTTGGATTTACGACTACAAATTTTTAACTCTGTAGCCTTGTAATTTTGAACCCAATCCAGAAGACAAGGAAACTCCTGGATCAGCACCCCCAGAGGTATGATTTGTTATGGGAACATTGAGGACTTCATAACACCACGTATTTAGCGTGCATCAGTCACCATTTACTACACGAGGAGTCTTCGGCCGGAGGAGATTGAACCCACGACCTCTTGAACATGGGCTCAGTGTCCTACCAACCAGGCTATCCAATCTTTTAAAATTTTTAAGTTGATACAGAATATGATCCGTTAAATTGCCGCAATTGCAGTGCTATAAAATGCGACTGCAGCTCCCATAAATTTTATTTTAATCGAATGCAGCGGAAAGCACTTGCAGTGTTGAAAACTCGAAGTAATTAGCCATAAAAAGACCTTTTAGTAAAATAAAATCAAGGAATTAAAGTGTTGAATATTTACATTTTTCTACAAAACTGCGTCACTGTAAAAAAGTGAGCAAGAGGAGTCGGGAATTAGAGTCTTCACTGAGCATTTCTACTTCAAAAATATTTTTTTATATCTGCTGCCTTACATTTAAGAGCATTCCTGCAGAATTGGGTATTTAGGGTCATTAGAGTTTCTGTTAAGGTGTTTAATTTGAAATCATTGCGCATGGCTTTGTTTCTGATGAAATAAGGACGACCACTCATTCTTAGTAATTTATTTTGAAATGTATTAAGTTTTTTTTTTTTCACTTGTGTTTCATTTAGATTACACCAGGCTGGGGAAGCATTATCGAATAAGTTATTACTGGTCTGATGTATGTTATGTATATGTAACTTCTGTCTTTTAGAGGTAATTTGAGAAGGGACCGAGTAAGCATTTTAATTTGTTCTAAATGTCATCGGCTTTGGCTAAAATGTGCTGTTGATTTCTAGCATATTACATATGCTGGAAATCAACAGCACATAGCAGGTAGTGAAATGCTGATAGAAATATCAAGTGTACGAAAAATTACAGAGCTTGGACAAAAGTATAGAAACACTTTCTAACTCTTTGTAATCTTGCTTTTCGAAGCAAATACTTAGAAAGATTTTGCACGGCAAAACTGTTCCTACAATTTATGAAGGAACATGCTTGAAGGTTTCAGAAATGGTGAGATTTTTACAGAGGAGCCAATTGTTTCGGCTTTGTAAAAAAGTATTTTCTAGTAGTAACTTAATGCAAGTTATTTTTTAGTTTAGTGCTCTTCATTTTAAGTAATTTTTCCCACTACAAGACAAAAATTCAAAGTATCATATGAAAGGCAACTTTATTGCAAATATCTCGTGGTGGCACTTTTAAAAAGTGGGCGCAATTATTCTTTTTCTACAAGTTTTACGTTTTAATTCGCTACCAATTGTATTTCTTTATCTTGCTAGAGCACAAGCACCAAGAGTTTGCATCTATTCAACAACTATGGAATTTCTTATTTATAGAAAATATTTTTCTATTTGGTAGCAACGTAATGTATTAATGCAGGGTTTCTAACTTTCTACGCTATGTGGAAACATTTCTTCTAGTGGTAGAGAAAATTTTGTTTCAATTCAATATATAACTCTTTTTGTAAATTTGATTTCGTGGTGGGGCTTTTAAAATGTTGTCAAGATTACAGAAAATTCTGAAAGCTTCAGTCTTTAACTGTCTTCTACTCTTTAAATTGTTTAAAAAAAACGTAATAGTTGGCACTTTTGTTAAACAAATTTGATTTAAAGGAACTTTGCCTTACGCTATACATATGTAATTTAAACACATGCAGGGAAATATGGGGCTAGACAGGATAGCTAAAGTTCAAAGACCTGCTAGGGCTAAACTGTTCGAACAAGGAACTATCAGATTTAATCAACATATTCATTGTTTTGTTGTGTACAATATATCATTCCGGAAAAAGTCCTGATTTTGAGCTGTGATGGCTCAGTGGATAGAGCGCTCGCCTTCCAATAAGGGGAACCGGGTTTGAATCCCTGCGATGGCAGGTCGATTCGAATTCCTCATCGGGCTTGCACCGACCACAGTGATGACATAAGATATCATGGGTACGATAAAATCTTGTCTAACATAAGAAAAATAATATTACTTTATTACGTAGTAGGAAGGTATGACTTATATGTCATGAAATATACTACCGTTTTGACAAAGTGATTAAAGAAATATTGTTTATTTTTTTGTTATTTATTTCTCGAAAATGGAAAGACAAATATTCTTTTAATCTTTTCTAGAAGTAATTTTTATTTATTTGTGAAGAATCGGTTAAATTAGTTGCATGAAAATTATTTAAGTATTCGTCTTATTTATAATTAAAATCTTTGGTTCCAGTTATTAAATAATTACGGCTTTAAATTTTTTCAAACTCAAATGTTCTTTTAAAATTTCCAATATATTTGCATGTATTGTAATTTATGGATTGAGAAATTTAAGGTACTTTTTCGTTCCGCAGCGTTAACTAAGTGCTAGTAAATTCAACTGTTTGTTTATTTAGTTTTTTTTAGGATAAAACACAAATAAATTAATAGTCCATATCCATAAAATTTTCAAAAAAATATTAATTATTTTTAAACCTTTGCTAAAAAAGAACTATAAAAAAAACATTAATATATTTTTTTAATTACTTTAATTTGTTCAAATTAATTAATTTGTTACAATAACATTAAATTAATATAATCATGAAATTAATATAATTAACATAAGAATTAAATTAATAAATAATTATATTTATTAATTCGTCACATTTAAACAAATTAATAAATTTGTTTCATTTTTCAAAGAAAAATGTAAAAAGATTCCTTTAATGTTAGAAATTTAATTGGAGTAAATTTTGAGTGATAAGTAATTTAATTTTTAAATGTTACTGTAAAATTAATACAATTAAATTAAAAATCTAAGTCGATTTTTCACATTATAAGAAAAAGAAGACGAAAGAGAAAGATGGAGGGGGAAAATCAAACACTAATACAGATAAAAATAATTCAAAAATACATTTGAAAATAGAAAAAAAACAAAAGAAATCGGACATCTAATTGGGAAAAAGAGATTTCTGTTCGAACTTAAAAGCAAGAGTTTCATTTGCCTCTTCACTAATTATAAATTCCCACATTGATCATCTTTTTTCTTAAGTCCTTAAAATTCCACTAAAAATTCCTTTCCAACCTTTCACTATTACCTGAGTCATTTCTCTTTGCGATTTACCGATTTCTTCGAAAATAAAGAAATGTTTACTTTCAAGAAAAGGGCAAAAAAGGGGGGAAGGAATATCCGCAAATCACCACCCCACTCCCTTAGACCACACACGAAATCAGCATTCTTACCCTCCAGCTATTTTTTCCTCAAAAGAAGTTAGAACTTTTTAACTAATAGTTAAATAAAATAATATTTAGTTAAAAGATGCGAATTTTTTTCCCACGAAATATTCTTTTTTATACATGAAAAATTACAATTAATTTAAACAGAAGGTTTCATAAAATTCAACATAACAGATAAAAGAATGCAGCGGTCTGGGACACTGATTAAGAACTCAAGAAACGGGACCTTGAAGTCAATTATAACTTTTTCCCTATTTCTTTTCCGATTAAACATTTTATACCGTTTAAATTTTTTGCCGTTTCCCAATTCATGGCATAACAATGCAAATGCAACTGTCGAAAATTCTATTTGCGAACCAGTCGGATATAAGCTAAATTCCCTAACTGCGTACATTCTTCCCTTTCAAAACTTTTATTTTACTTTTTTCCCTTTTGTTATGACTTTTCAGGGAATATTTCTTTTTCTAAAGCGATGTGAAGTTCAGTGAAACACTTGTTGCATCGAATAAAATGGCTTTGTGTTTACATATCTTCGTTGTAATTTATGTTTTAATAATTAACGAAGTGTTCTGTTTATCTGGAGGATTTTATGCAGATAATGGCCGGCAACAAAGTATTCTATTGCGTCCGCTACGGCGGAAAGACAAAGTTGAATTAGAACATGAAATATTACAGCTTCTTGGATTGCATCATCGGCCGAATCCTAAACAACACCATGATGTTCACAGTTCAGCACCAAAATATTTGATTGACTTGTATAAAAAGTTACAGAAAGAAGAGATAAACTCGAAACAACTTAAGAAATCCCAGCGACTTCTTGCTGAATCTGATTTTATAGTCAGTTTTGTCAACAAAAGTATGCTTTCTTTGGCTTATGATTTGAACTTGAAATTTAAAATATATTATTAAATTATCTCTGAAAAGTCAAAAGTAAATTTCACATCCCCGTTTTTTTTTTGTAATATTCTTATTAGTTTTCTCGTTTCTCATAATGTTTAATTCAATTGTTTCTCCAACTCTTATTATACCTTCATACTTGTTATAACTACATTTTGGGTGTAAAAGGTTTAGTTAATTTAACTGTCGAGAAAATTGAAAGATTTTTTTTTATTCTCTATGTCATCATGCTTTTATGCAAGCAAGTATTCTGTTCTAATGTAAGACATTACAAACTTTCCAGGAAAGTACCACAAAATTTACCTAAAAAATCCTGAATCAATATTTTATTTAGTGTTTATAAAGCATCTGATAGGCAAGTTAACACAAGTGTTCCAGAATTAGATTATTTTGGGCTAAGTAATTATACTTTTTCTAGCCAAATTATAGAAAATCACAAAAAATGCACAGCAACAATAAATACCAAACAATAAAAAAATAAGTTTTGACCTCTATTGCCATATTTATATCTTGTAAAAACTTAAACTTCTTACAATTTATTGAAATTAAGATAATAATTTATACAAAATTCTCTAACATTTTTCTGTATCATATAAATCTAAAATTTTTCCATATTTACAATATAATAGCACTATTTTTTAGGCTGGTAATATTTGTTTTTAGAAATTAAGCTTTCTGTATAGATTAATTATGTTTCTTAATTATAAACAAGATATTTGATTAGCTATATGAATTATGTGATTCCTTTGATAAGTTTAATTACAATAACAATTATTTCTTAGGCTGCTAATAAAGTTTAATTATTATTTTTTATAAAATTAAATAAATTGTAAATTATTCTGTTAAATGTGCTTTTATCTACTATTTATTGTGTTTTATAAAATCTACTAGTTAACCTCAACTTAGTGAAAAGGGCAAGGTTTGATCCTATACTTTCTGTCTTAGGGTTAATTTCATTATTTCTTGAACACATGCGTATGTTTGGAATTTTGTTTACATTTTCATGTAAAAGTATGACAAATTTTGTTTTTGAAATTGCGTATGAACCTTATATTTTATTTCTGGAAAGTTTATTTCTTCCCTAAGAAAAAATATTACCAAATTTCTTGCAAAAAAAATTATGGGTTTTATTTTCGTGTTTAAAACTTGGCTCTCTGTAGCTGTCATAATAGTTTAGTTTGAATACTTGCTATAAAGGATTGCGAAATCTGTAATAAAAAGTACTGTTCGGTCGTAAAGATGCATTGACGACTGCTTTTCTGAGAAAACATTGACTCAAACATTGGTTCCTAAAACCAATAGTAAGAATTTTAACACTATGATGAATTGTCAAAAAATATTGTATTTAATATTTTATCACAATTTTTTTTTAATTAACTCATTTATATTGGTAACTATTTTTGTTCCCAAAAAGAAAATTATCAAAATTGAAATAATATAGTATTTAATTATTATTTTTTATAATTATCAACCTTGGCAATATCTATTTTTTTTAAAATATGTTATCATTAATTGTGATATTATCATTTTTCATAGTTATAGTTATCATTAATGATAGCAATATTAGATGTATTTATTATTTATAGCAAGTACAGTGGTTTGACACTTAAGGGATTGAAAACTTTGGAAATGTTTCTGTTGTAATCCGTTTCGTCAATAAGGTGCCAAAAAAATTTTTCAATTTATTTAAAAAACAAAAACATGTGGAGGTTAGCCCTTGGATGGCTGTGAGTTGGTCCCCTTCTGTGATTTATTTTTAGTTTTTCACAGGTCTCAGAAAAGTTACCTGGAATTATCACTTTTGAAGCAAATCGCGATACATAAATCTTTTCCTAACTTTAGTTACATGATCAGCATGCAAACTTAAACAAAAAGCCATAACTATTTATTTATTTAAAATAGTTCAATCATTCATAATTGGTTAATATCTTTTTACAGTAGGGGTAATTTTTATTGACGCTAAAGTTTATTCATCGATTCAGTTTTCACGACGCCAACATAAGTGGTGTTTCCGCTCCAAGAACATGACACTGAGTAAAATTAAAATCACTTCCGATAAGTCATGTACCTGTAAATCATGTAAAATCACTTGTGAAAAATCATGAACTTGTAATCATGCTCAAAAAATCATGTTCATAACATTTTGAAGTCAATAGAAGTAACCCTCAAGAATGACCAACCTCCATTAACAACCATTTTACTGTGAAACAGCGACAGGTCACTCCTGACAGGTTTTTCTGTATTTTGATATTTTGACCTGGCTTATGCTACATTTACTAACTTTTTCTTAAATTATTTATGTGGGTGAAAGAGAGATTCCCGTGAATGTTTTTACCCATGATGGTATAACGTTCTCTTAAGGAATATCCTCTTTAGTTTTATATTTGTAGAACTATAAATACCATGCCCGGTGGCTGAGCGGTAGCGCTTCGCGCTGTCGCGCCACAGGTCCTTGGTTCGATCCTTGGGCCGGGCAAGGCCGACTCAGCCTTTCATCCCTTCAGTGGGTCGATAAAATGAGTACCAAGCATGCTTGGGAACTAACACTGGGGGTTCCGCGTTCGGCTGACCACCTGACCGGAACAGATGCTCCTGCACCCCAGAGCCCAAGGTCAAGAAAACTGAGATGGGCACAGTCGGCCTTGGCCCTCTTAATGGGCTGTCGCGCCACTGAGTTAGTTTTATAAATACCATAGCAATTTTTGTAAATTTGAAATAGTTATTTACTTATTCAATTTGTCTTAATTTGCAGTTCATGAGGAGTATCCCCACATTCGTCATGAGAGAGACAAACGTTATTGGTTTGATACATCCCAAGTTCCAAATGATGAAGAACTTTTTACAGCTGAATTCAGGTTTTACAGGAATTACTCCAAAAAGTCATCTCCTCGCAAGGGAAAATATCTTGTTAGTTTGTATTCTGTTCGTGATGCTGACAAGCCTAAGTAAGGATTCTTTAATTTTTTTTTTATTTAGTCTGATTTGATATGATTTATTCACAGCATTTTATTACCAATAAGTAGGTTCTTGGAACATTTTCATTTGCATCTCTTTCCTACATTTGATATCATTTCTTCGAATAAATAAGGTTTTTTATGCATGTAATCTATATCAGTGTTTACCAACCTTTTTATTGCTGCAGATCGGTCTGCGTTTAAAAGATTTATTATGGCCCTTTAAAGGGGGGCAGATAATGGTTGTTTATATTTTAGATGGTTTTAATTTAATAATTTTAGTTTAATAGTATTTAAACATGTCTTCTAAACAAAATACAGTTATATGCACAGTATGGGTGCCGCTTAAGATGACAAGTCTTAGTTTTAAGTTTATCTCAGATTAAGTTTTATTCACAGTTCTTAGTTAACAGTCTCGTCCATAGAAAGTCGCAGAAACCCAAGAGAAATTAATACACCACAGTGAATAATATGGAATTTTTGTTTCTTATGCAGTCCAGTACCATTGAGCCACTGACCAGTACCAGTCCAGGGATTAGAGACCACTGATCTACAACATAGGTTCCAGAAAGGGAACTGTGGTTTCCATTAGTGGATGGTGTTAAAATTTGAGAATTTGCTTAAAACTATGCAAGATATGAGTAATTAAAGTAATTGTTAATTAAAAATGTGCTGAAAAATAAAAATACAATTTTTTGTTCATTTTGTAGTGAATAGTATTTGACAACTAATAAAAAAAGGTTAGATTTGAATATCTTAAAAATTTAAAAAGTTTCCAACAATTTTCTAAGTAGTTTTTTTTTTTTTAAGGAAATCTTAAAATGCTAAGGGGTTTTTCACTTATTTCATTTTGTACTAATAAACAAGATTTATTAAAAATGACACCGGCATTGTTGGGGATCATCCCCCATAAAAGTATCTTTTCTTTTGCATGTTTTCTTTCCTTATACAATCATATTTTGGTGTATGGACGTTTATTGTAACGTAATATAATTCGTTATTTAACTTTGTCTTATGATACAAAATAATATTTTAGAAAACCCTTTTTATCGTTTTGAGTTACTTTAAAAAAAAAAATACAAACGCTACCAAGAAAATTGCTTGAAACAAATGTTTTTCAAATTTTAATTTAAAAAAATTTGTAATTAGTTTTAGATTGCTCTAAAAATTTTGTTAAATTTTATTGAATATTTTTAAAGTTATAGCTACAAAAAAAAAAAAAAAGCACCAGACCAAAATTTAGTTTTTTAAAAAAATGTCCATATCTTCATAAATATTAAATTTAGGTTTAAGAAATTTTGTGCAGTTATTATTTCATTTTTTAACATAGGGTGAACAAAAACATTATTTTCTGTTTGTTAATCCCTCAAGCCGTTAAGAGATTTTTAACTTCATTATAAATATGAGAAACTGCATGATCAAAAGACTTCTAAATTTATATGCATGATCAAAAGACTTCTAAATTTATAAAATGTTTCTTTAAGTATTTCTGGAGAAATATGAAAAAAATGTGTCTGTATATAATAGTCTGTATATAGTGTATATAATAATTCTTATTTTTTGTTCACTTAACATTTCTTTGTAGAATATAAAAACATTGTTTTCTTATTGTATCTTTTTCTCTTCATTTGTAGTAGTAACACTCTTGAATTAGTTGATGAAATGACCATAAATCATCAAAGTGGTTGGCTGGCTTTCAATGTTACTAAAGCTTTGGTTAAATGGATTGCTTTTCCTCAAAAGAATTTGGGTCTTTATTTAAAGATCAAAACTTTAGATTCTTCATGTAAGTTTCACCTATGAATCAGAAATATGTGTTATTTATTTTTTATGAACTTTTCTAAGAATTCTCTATTATTACTTTTTTGATTGTTATATTTCTTCGAAATAAAAGGTTCAAACAGGGTATTGCCTAACAAACTGTAGTGCATCTAATACCTAGTAATTGAAAAGTAGAACATAAAAAGTACAATACTTAACATTTAGTTGATAAATGACCTACAGGTAAAGTTTCTTGTTAAGAACATTTTATATGTGTGTATATATATATGCAAACTTATATTTTTGGTAAGGATTCAAATGAAACTTCTAATTTGACCAAATTCTAAAGTTGTACCTGCAATTATTTTGACATATAAAAAAGAAGCATCAAAAACTGTTCTAAAAAAGAATATATTTGTAAATAATAGTGATAAAAAAAACATAGTTGCCAACTTTTCTTATTTCACAAGAAAGATTTTATTTTTATATTCGCAAGATAATTTATTTTATATTAAACAAATTTGATTTAAAATAATCTTGATTATCATTATATCTAATTAATCATAATCTGATTAGATATAATATAATTATCTAATTAATTGTGATATAAACTATCTGATAATCATTGATGTGATTTTAGGTGCTGGAGAAATTTATGCTCCAGTTATTGTTGCAATTTTTATTTCACAATGATAAGAAAAAAATGCAAGTGTTGGCAGCATAGAAATATGTATGATATATCTAATATGATATCTACAAACAAGGATAATTTTTGAAGTCTAATCTATAATTAAATCAAGTTTACTAACAGTTAAGGAATTAGATTTACTATGTCCAAAGAGAAATAATTTTTATTTATAAAAATCAATAGATCTCATAATTAAATTCATTTATTTGAAAAACGAGCAAAGTGATATTTAATTCAGCAAACATGGCCAAACATTGAATATAAATTTTTTTTGAAATATTTTATAATACATTAATTTGTCAAATTCAAAAAAGTAAGGTAATAAAAAACCATAGTTTTTGTAGAATCAAGTATATAGAAGGATATGCAGTGGATCCCCAGTTCTACATTTTCCGCTTGACTAGCATTAATTAGCACACAAACATTGAAAAGGTAAAATCAGAGTAAAAAGGAATCTTAACATATTTTTCAAAATCGATACTTACAAGACAAACATCATTAAGGAATTTCAAATTAAGAATTTCAGAGCATAAAAATGCTTTGAAACTCTTGATCAGTTGTGGGTATGTCCCCTGGTATTTATTGATCTTCATTGTTTTTATTATTATCATTGGGAGGAGGTATTAAACCAGATATTGAAGGAATTCAAAAGTAACATGATGCGTCTTGCAATCGATATAAGTGTCATCGACTTTGGGAGATCTTCCTAAGGGTCAGTGTTCCCATTGGGTACCGAAAAGGCTACATAATAAACCCATTTGTACTCGACTTTAACCGGCATTGTGCAAGACTAAAGAAATCAAATTCAGAGCTTCCAGAACATTTATTTTTGCTTTAAAAGCATCTTCCAAGTGACTGAAATGAAGAAAGTTATTATTTAACCAGTTGTAACGTTCTTTAAATGATTGAATTATTCAAAGGAAGTTAGTTGGAAAAATTCCACCTGCAGATTTCCTGTTTCCTTCCTTTCGTGTGCTTTGCCCATTACCGCTGTACAAAAGAGAAGCATCTTCAATTTTCTGTAAGTGAAAAAGAAAGTTTTAGGACCTCCTATTCATATCTTTGGGGGTCCTTGGCATTATTTGTGGTCAAAAACATGGTGAAATATTAATTACTTTCATTATTCAGAATTCACAGTGAGAACTACACCCTCTCCAGAAAATCCGAATCTCTTGTATGCATTCAAAGCCATGAAGCAAAGTAAATTTCTTTTCAAAGGTTTCACTCTTTCTGTGAATTGTTATTGGAGGATTATTTTGGAGATGAAACACATATTCACATTCTGTGTATAATTCTCTAAACATGTGTTATTTATAAAAAATTGTTGCTCGCAGCCAAGCATCAAGCCATATGTTTAGAACAGACTATAAAAAATTTGAAGGATTGGACAGATTGATATGGCAGTGTATTTAGTCAAAATAAATCCAGTATATATGAATCGGTATTTAATATATGTTTTGTATACTCTCGTTATAGCGACCATATGTTCTAATGTTGATTTTTTTTTAGACCACATGTTTCCTTATATTGAACAATTGTATACCTTACTGTGACAGCCATTTTATTTTCATCACTTGTCCTGGTCAAAGTTGTCCTAAAACATCACCAAATAATGATATTGAATAAATAAATGTTAAGAAAAATAAAAAGTTGGCAGAATTTGGTTCTTTTTTTGTAGCACACAACTCATTTTGATTTACATATTCTTGTTTTCCTCTATAGCACGTTCTTTAGAGCCTCATGAGATAGGAATCGCTGGATCTACAGGACGTGAAGAATATCAACCATTTATGGTTGCCTATTTCAAGTCTGCAAATCGTTTGCGAATTCGAACAAAGAGAGGTGCCAAAAAGAGACAAGACAACTATTATGATGATAACTATCATCATCCTTATGGTAAGCTTTGCTAAATATTAAAATCTATGCTGAATTACTATATCAAAATTAGATATATTTTGACTTTTCTATATTAAAAAATTTTGAAAGATGATCTTTCAAAATTTTTTGATCATTTGAGATCTTAATAATTTGTGCAATGAAATTATTATTATTTGTTAAACTTTTCTATAGCTGTTTGACAAAATATTTTTTTTTAAAATTCTTATTTGTGATATCTGTAAAAAAATAATAAATTTAATTTTAAATTGAATATATTCTAAAGAAATTAATATATAAATTTGTGCAATTGCTAATTAGATAATTGATTTTTTAGGAACTATTCAAGTGTTTGTAATTTTGCCAACACAATTAAATTCGGCCCTTTTATTTTTTGTTTGTTTACTTATTTTTTAAAAAGAAGCAGGTCGATTTTATTGCACTTGGTGAATTTGCATTGGCGACTTTATCGCCACTGCTGGCAAAATTGAACCCTAACATCATGTAATTATAATTTCAGTAGTTTTCTTTTCCATCCTTTTCCAAAATGTTAGCAAAAATAAGAAATGTAATTTTTTTCACAAAATTATTATTATTTTTTTTTGTTTTTGCTATTTGCAAAGGATTCTAGTGTTTTGCTCATATTATCTTTACAGCTTCATCAAAATAAATACTCTCTTCTTGATATACTTAGATTACATTTAAATGACCTGTTTTAGCAATTACCAAGTAACATTTTCATTAGAATCTTTTACCTGCAGTATGTTTGTTTACCCATATTAGATGATTACAGGTTTTGTTACTGAAATGATCTTTCATTATTGAGCTTTCTTTTACTACTATTAATTTTGTTCTTGTGTCAACCTTAGTTTATATTGCACACTATTTTCTTTATTAATTTGATTATGGAGTCATGTGGCTTAGGCAAATTGTGTATAGTTATATAGCTGATTTGTCATTAAATTTTACATTCTACTGGCGAATTCTTTTGGTGGATCACAACAAATGCTCTTGTAAATTACTTATTGATCATTAATAAGGCATATATCAGGCCAACTTTCAAAACTAAACTGCTTACTTTTTAAATTTTTGTTTCTTTTTAATCCTTTTTTAGTGATTTCAGTAATAAAAGAAAAGTTTCCGCTTAATCCTATTGGGTTTTTTTCTTCTCTTAAACTTATAGATATTTATATTTAATGAAATGAAGCTGGTATAATTGTTTCATAAGTATACAAAAAAAAATTTCAAACAAGAATTTTTGTGAAGAGAATAGTATGTATGATGAACCATAGTTCTTTTAAATTCAAGCATATAGATTAGAGAAATCTTCCTCTCAGATGAAATATTCTCTTGTTGTGTTTCTTTTTATTAAAGACAACTTGTTTTCTTATTTTTTAATCTTTTATTTTAAGGTTATGTCACTCGAGAAAAGTATAGCTCAAAACGGAATTGTCAAAGATCAACTCTGTATGTGAGCTTCAAAGATTTGGGTTGGGAGGTAAGTCCATTGCTCATCTTTAATTTACTTTATTTCTAGTTATGTTTTAAATTTGTTTTTTTTAAACATATATTATTAATAATAATAATATATAATTCGTAATAATTAATTCGTATTCGTAATATATAAACATTAAGTTACTAGATTTGGTATGTTAAAAGTATATGAATGATTCTCACTACTAAACGCATTCATGGATTTTGAAATAAACAGCCAACCTTAATGTGTTTTGCTTTTAAACCGTAAGTTTAATTTGTTTGAAAAAGTTAAAAGTAAATATTTTACTTCTTTAGCAAAGAAAAAAAAATCGGAAATAAACTTTAAAGAAAAAATTTACAATAAGTATATTATTATACTTTTTTTTAAATTGCAGTTTTACATAACATTACGCTGCTTATTGCATAACTCTAATATAACTTGTAAAAAAATTAATTTTAATAACATACCCATCCAAGATAAGTTATTTCTTAAATACACGTTAGGTAAAAATAAATGACAGAATTTCATTGGTGCACTATGCAATTAATGTATTTATTAAAAATGTATATTCGTAAAGAGGTAATATAAACAAGTTTTTTAATGTACTGCCAATAAATGTCTAATATACATCCATACATAGATCAATAGTATAATAGATCAATAAATATATTCATATTCATGCCTCGAAAGCAGCTGTGATAAAAGCTTTCAAGTTAATCATGGTCATTGGACCTGGTAGGATACGCATGATCTTTTAAGAATCTCCTTTGAAAAGAATCATTTTGTCAAAGGTATGAGCTTACACTAAAGCACACAAAATTCTTTTTGCTATCGTACAACTATTTATAGTGGCATTGTTTTTCTGCTCGTTTTGTTTACATGGAAACATTGGCGGTGATTGGACTTCCTGCACCGTCTATTGGCGACTTTCTAAAGCATTGCATCTGAATGTACATTTTTAATTGATACATTTATTACAAGGTATACCTATGAAATTGGGGTACTCATTTTTGAATTATCCTGTATTTAAAAATTACTATGTCCTCACCATACTATTCAATTTGATTCACATTTCTTTAAATATTTTCTCTTTTTCGAACTAAAATCCCGCATTTAATAGTGCATACAATTTTATGCCCTTTGATTAAATTACATTTGTAGAGTTCATTTTCTTAGTTTAATTTTTGTCTTTACCCGTATTCAACCAAAATAAAATATTCTTAATTGTCATAAAAATATTATAAATGTAAATTATATAAATAAATTTCATTAATTTTAAAACTAATTTAATTTTTAAGTAAGTTTGCATAAAGAAATGAAAGATTCAGAATATATTCAATTTTATTAGTCTTTTTTATGTTATTAAATTTAATTGTCACAACTTTTTATCTTCTGATCTCTTTTTCATTTTAATAGATTAAAAATATAATTGCATTTTATAATATTTTATTTTTTTTTGAATTGATTTCAGTATTTCTTTAAACTCCTTCAGAGAGATTCTCTTCTTGTAATTTCATGTAAATCATGTCAGGTAAACCCATATACCATGACTTCTAAGTTCTGAAAAATGCATTTTTTTAAATCAGTAGTATTGTGCTTATGCAATCAATAATCATAACTTAAAAATTGGTAAAGAAAGTTCAATTTTGTATAATCAAATATTGTCAAACTGTTGTTCTGTCGTAATTAAAGTTTAAAAATAAAAATAGATTGTGAAAATATTATAGGAGAAAAAATTTATTTTATTTGTAATAAAGCAGGGAAGAGTAATGTTTTGCTGAATTGAATCAGGATTTCATCTGTGTTTAAATGTTCTTAAGCAAAGAAGCTAAAATAAGAAAAAAAGTTTTTGTCTGAAGTTTAGTTAATAATTTTGCAAATGCTCTTAGCATAAATGCACAGATTGCAGTTAAAATTGTTTGTCCAATCAACCTCCAGGCATTTTTATAAGGAGCACCATGTAACAAAACAAATTTCTTTAAGCAATCAAAGTTAGATATTTTCTTACACTATTTTCATCATCTGTTTGTGGCAATTCATTGTTTATTTTCCCTTATTTAATAAATATTTTTCCAATTGTGGCTTTAGCAAAAGAGCAAAATTATGAGTTTCATTTTAGCGTTTTTGATTAGTCTTCACATTTTGAGACAAATACTACCATAGTGGAAACCCTATTAGTTAGTTGTAAAAATTTTTTATTGATACCTATCATTGATTTACTTCTAAAATTTTAGAAAAATGTTTTGTATTATTAGTTATGTATCTTTTTTTATTGCAGGACTGGATAATTGCACCAGATGGTTATGGTGCATTCTATTGTGAAGGTGAATGCTCATTCCCTCTGAATGCAAACATGAATGCTACAAATCATGCTATCGTGCAAACTCTTGTTCATTTGATGGATCCATCTGTTGTTCCTAAACCACAATGCTCCCCAACACAGCTGACAGCAATTACTGTGTTATATTTTGATAATAATTCAAATGTTATTTTGAAAAAATATCGTAATATGGTTGTAAAATCATGTGGGTGTCACTGAGTAAGATACAGACACTTGAGCAAAACCACAAAATATTTTTAAATTGCCCGCAATAAGTGCCTGATTATCTCTAACAAATCATTTTTAAAAAATCTTATGCCTACTTAATTTCTTTTTAAGAATAACTTCCCATTCATCAATGTAAAAATCATTTATCAAAGTTTACGAAGTATTTCATGCCATTTTAATCTGTAGTGCAGCTATGTATTTATGTGTTATTTGTTGCTATGTTTGCAAGAAGACAAAATTATGAACATGTATATTAATGACTTATATTTATTGGCACATTTATTTTGCCACACTTGATTAAAAACTTAAGACCGAACATTATCAACTCTTCAAAGTTTGTAAAGGCTTGGAAGAGCTGGTAGAGTTTCACCTTTGAGCAATTATTTTAAAAAAATGTAACTTCGGATTAATAATCATTAAAATTACTGTATTAACAATAATTCAAACACTTTTTTAAATATTGTTTGCTATTTTATTTAAATTAAGTTTCAGTTAATTTATGTTGATACCATATAAAATATATTTTTTAATAAAAAATTTAAATATTAAATTTTAATAGCTCATCCGTCCATTTTTAATATATCTCAATTGTTTTGTACCATTTTGTATTCCAAGCACATTGTTGACATGCATTTATTTATTGCTTTCTGTTGGATTATGTATAAAAATGAATACTAACTTTTTTTTTAAGTTGAATCTCTAGTTATTGTATATTTATGTGGATTTATATATTTTTTTGTGAATTTTTAAAATAATTGTTCTGCCAGAATGTATTTTGCTTGAGCTTTCAAATCATCACTACCGTTGCAAAATGCTTTTTCTAAAAAGAACTATTTTGTAATAAATTTAAGATAATATTAAATATATAGTGTGATAAAAAAAGTAGGTTTTCAACTTCAGTATTTTGATGTTAAAGAATTACTAGATCTATTACCAATTTACTTTTATCTATAATACGATAGTTTCTGATCTAGACTATATTCCGTGATAATAATATTAACAATTTTATTTCATGAACTAGAAAATTTTAATGAAAAAAATGAGCAAATTTAAAAATTATTTAATACAAACAAAAAATTTTGAAATCTTCTAATAAATTTAATTAAAAAATTAAAATTTTGTCATCTGAATTCAAAATAGTGCAGTTAATGTTTTACTTTAAGATTAAATTTAAAAATAGTTTATGCCAGGGTTTTGTTGATCTGTTATTTTTATTTTATAATAATTTTAATTTTAATAATTTTTACATTTCAATCATCAGTTTTCTTAACTTATTTAATGTAAATAGTATATAAATTTTACCGAGTTAAGTATTACTTTTTTTCTCGGTCATACTTCATATTTATTTTTAAATTAATAATTTGTTAAGTTGTATTATTTTGTTTGTAAAAACTTGCATTATAAGTTTTCCTCATCTTAGAAATTTGAATCAAAAATATATAAGTGAAAGTGAATGTTTTCTTGTAAAAAAAATTAATTTGCAATTAACTGATGCTTTAATAATTAACATTGTTTTACAATTTGATTATAGATAAAAAAATATTTTGCACTTGTTTTCTAATTACCACTAAGCAAGATTTTACTCTTTTGTTGAATCTCATTTGTTGTTTATTGTCTTGTGTTATGTGTGAACAAGTTTAATTAGCTTGCAATTATTTTGTCTTTTATTTTGAAATTGCATTTATTAAAAAAAAAAAATAGAATGCCATGTTTTTGACCAGCTCTTTGATTTGCCAAATTTTGCTAAGTCATTTAACGAGTAAATATTGTGCCAATCTTTTCCATCAGTTTGTTATTGATAATTATTTCTTCAAGCTCATTTGTTTATTTATTCTTTATAATCTAAAATGCTGTGCATTTGTTTCTTAATCTTTTTTGTCGATTTGTATCACACATAATGTTTTTCCTTTTTAGTGAATGAATGCATTATCAGACTTAATTGTTTTGCATTTAAATTGTTTCTCGTAATTTGACAGTATTAAAATGTTCAAATATAAATACCTTGAAAAAGTAGTCTATTGAAGTTACATAAGTAAAATAATATATAGAAATTAAAAATTTTCTTCACTTTTCTCAACTAAATGCTTTAAAAAAATGTGTATATGTATGTTTTTTCATTTGTGTTTTATTGCTTTAGTTGACATAACACAAAATTTTAATCTTTCTTGGATAATTGAATTAGGTTTTAACATTCTGTGTTGAGGCATTTTTTAACATCTCTTATAGTATACTAAATGTGTAACTATTAATTTCTTTATTATTTTATACATCTTTAAAATCATCCTTGCGCCCTTGAATTTAATGCTTAATATTCCAGTAATTTCTGTGATAAATGAAAAATACTTCAAAGATTTCTCAAGTACGTTATATCAAATGTATTATCATATCTTGTACTGTACAGCATTTTGTGAATAAAGCATTGAAAATTTTTTGTAATTTGTATTGTTAAAAATGAAAGAAGGAAAAAGCTGTGCTATTGCATTATTTAATATTTATTAATTCATTTTTATTTTTTAAGTTCTATTGTTTAAAAAAATGTAATCTTCAAGTTAGACCAATAATGAGTTGACCGGGGCTTCAATCTCATCCTAGGGTAGAGTTCGGCACTGGGCTCGCACCAACCACAGTACTAATGTAAAATATCCTCAGTGGTAGGCTGATCATGAGTTAGAGTCCTCTTGCAGTCATGCTTATCGTGGAAGGTTAGTTCCAACTAAAAGAATTCAACGAAGCCAAATTTCTCCCAATACTTGACCTGGGAAGTTCCCTTGTCTTCTGGATTGGGTCCAATTTACAAGGCTACGAAGTTAAACATTGGTAGTCGTAAACTCAAAATTGGGTCGGCTGTTCAAAGACTGTTCTAAAAATATAAAATAAAAAGTTACACCAATAATGTAACAGTTCCAAAGACAACATCTTAAGTTTTTGATATCACAAACAACCACTAAAATGTTCTACTATTTCATTTGTTTGAAGAAAAAAAACCCTTTTATTCCATTTTTTGTTTAATTTATTTTCAAAACCGTTTTTTTTTTTAAGAAAAAGTTAGCTTTTTATGCCTGTGTTAAGTCTGAAAACGTATGTGTTCAAACTCTGAATGACTGAGTTTTTAGTTATTTAAGCATTTTTTTAAAAATTATTATGTACATTAAAAACTTTTTTCTGATATATTTAATCTTACTTATTTTTAAAAAAAATTTGTGTTTACCTTATACTCATTTGACAACATCAACAACATTTGTGTTAGACGAGAAGAAAAAAGTGTAATTACAATTTATTCAAGTTCTGCCATTAACTTAGCTGCAACTGTTTCCCGCCCTTTTTTTTTTTTTTTTTTTTTTTTTTTTTTTTTTTTTTTTTTTTTTGTGAATTGTTCTGAAATTGGCATCATAAAGCTATCATCAAAGCATTCTATCAGTTGTTGGCAGATAATTTTTAATTTTCTGTTATTTAATAAATGATAAAAAAGAATAGTATTTGATAAATATAAAAGTGTTTTTCATTCTTTGTATATTTCAAAAACTTTCTTACTATAAAGGCCTTATTATAGACAACGTTTTAATTTTATCAAAAATTTATTATCAAAATTAATGTTCTGTAACTGAAAAATTAATTGTAAAATTTATACCATTGGTTAGAGAAATCAAGGAGAGTCAACAAAATAAGTCTGAAAATTTTGATTCTAAGAGTTTGGGACTACTCTGTAACTGACGAAGGCCCCTTTCTAATGTTACAACAGTGGTGTATAGGTATAGGGTACACTATATTTGAGGGTGCCCTTGATTCTCGCCAAGTTGTGATCGCCAATCTGGGCGATGTTGAAACCCAATAGTGATTCTGATTGGTTTAGATTTTAGCGTTATTTTTAAATGTTCAACGGTATATGTGATTTCAGAGGTCCGTTAGTTCTACGTTGGATACCGGCTGGTAAGGTTACTTTTGAATCTGATCAATAAGATGGAAGGTATGTTTGCAGTCATGAAAAGGGATTTAAGAAAAAAATGTCACCGCTAGTTCGGTTTTACAGACGCCATTTTCGATTCGTATTTCGTCGAATTTATGTGGCTATGGAAGTACACAGATTCTATTCGTGATAAATTTACACAGTATCTAACTGTTATTAGATAATTCTTTGCACCTAAATCTGAGAATATTCAAGCTTAATGAAGAAGTGAGTAGTTTTTTTTTCCTTTTCTTTCAGCGCCTACTCCATTAATTTTTGCTTTGATTCAAAATCCTTTTTATTGGGTTTATTAATTTTGCTTATATTGGGTTCATTTATATAAAGTTTTGGCCGATGTTTTTTTTGAAATTTTCCAATGTTTTATTGAAATATCATTATGCTTTGGCCGCTATTCCTGTTACCACGGTGTTCCGCGCAAACAAGAATAGCGCCAAACATAAGTCGCCAAGGGGCACTATCAAGTATATTTTTCCCTCGAGATGTTGTTGAGCATCATATTACAGAAATTTTTTGCAAAGCGTTATGTTTTCCCTTAACTCAAACGTTAAAGCTATTTAAGCTTAAAAACGCATGCATGAAAATTTCCCTAAAAATCACAATGTCGCTAAGAGGGAAAAAAATAAGGTTAACGTAAGACAAACGCTACACAAAAACTCTAGTTAATACTAATACAAGCTCTCTTTATTATCCTGATTAAAAAACGATCTGATTATCCAGATATTCTTTTTAAATCTGCACAAGCATAAAATAGAATATTATTGATATGTATTCTATATTATGATTATTGATATGAACAATTTTCTTTTAACTATTTAATTTTCGCTGTCAATACGAGAAAAGAACTTACATACAGAAATTTGTAAACATGAATGTTTTCACTTTCATGCTTATAACTTACCTAAAACATTTCAACCTAAAGACGCTTTTCATGATTATCATGGTTAAAATTTTTTGACCATGATTGATTTTTCAATGAATTAACAGTAACAATGCGAAAATTATTATAATGGGATGCCTGCAAGTTACGAAGAGTGGATATATTGATGCTGATAGGTTTTTGAAACGTGGCATTTGTTTACGTTAGCAACAGTTTTTTCCATTCTATTTCGAGTAAGCCAAGCCTGTCAAGTATCAATTTTCTTAAGTGACA